ACCTCAGTCAAGATATGAATAAGGTGCTGACTGATGCCCACATGCTAAAAGGCAGGCCCTGTGCTGCTTCGGATGAGCACTTGGATAGATTCATTCCAAGAGCTCCCATCTGGCTATGTTGGGAGCTGATCTCCCCTACAACCTCCCCTCAAGCTGAAAAACTCCTGTCAAACCAAACTGGTGTTTTGGAGGTACCTGACTGCAGGAAGCAGCAAGGGTATAATAGACACCGCTGTGACTTTATGCAGAGGGAGAGGAGAGAGAAGAAAAAGGAAAAAGAGGGGTGGCTGGAGTCAGGAAAAGTCTGTTTTCTTCCTAAAGCTGCTGCTTCATGCTGGTCTCCTCTGAAGGAGAAGGGCTGGTGACATCCTTTGCTGGTGTTGACACTATCTCCCACTCAAGCCACTGTTGAGTCTACTGGAGCTGGCATGGGCTCCTCGGTCAAAGGTTGTTCTGGCTCAAAGCAGTCTGCAGGCTCCTCTCTGTCACCATAAAGCAACAGAAAAGGTCACAAGGCTATCTGCTGTCAACCTAGCCCTCTCACTACCCAATTAGTGGTAAAAAAAGTGAAAAAACAGGCATGTGAGTGACTTGTACCTATATATGTCGTGCACTGAACAGTAGCCCTCCTCCATTCCCAAAGAAACCCAAAAGTACCTTGTGATTTTAAATATTCTTAGGAGTCGAACACATCTCAACACCGAAATGCCCAGCGGTGACATGATCTTTGTCTCAACCAGAATTGTTTCCAGGATTCCTCCACACACAATGAAACAGTCAAAGCGGTTGAAGAGGGACACAAAATAGGCCTGGAGACCAAGGCTGTACATCTTGAGTAGCATCTCTGCCGTAAAAAGAGCTAGCAGCACCTTATTGGCAGTGTCTCATGAAAAACAAACAGAAAGAGGTTAATTGAACTTAGACAAAATGTCATCGCAGCTAACCACTGGCTCTTGCCTAATAAGAAAGCCCTTCTTTCATCAGTCCAAAAGGTTACCGTCATGTAGGCTTGGGTCAAAGAATGGACTTGAAAAAGGTGGGCACCTCCTTCACAGAAATATCTAAGGAGATGCTCGCAGCGATTCTTAGGTATTGCACATACAGCTGCACTGTACAACACACACACACAACCTCTGTGTCAGGGACATGCCTTCCTGTGCACAACCTCCCATCACACTTGTCATCTGCAGATGAGAATGGGAACAGAAGAGCTGCTGTGCTACCTACTGTTGCTTAATTAAGCCTTTCAGCTGCTCTCACCTCCAGTGAGGATTCAACTGTTCTGCAGACAGAAGAACTTTACAAATCACTCTTCGTTCTTCACCTCCCTGGTAACTAGAATTTACCATAAAAGCCATTTCAGGGAAAACCTTGGAAAACCTGTGGCTCCCAGCAGCTATCCATAAATTGAAAACTCAGTTGATGCAAATATACATTCAGTGTAAGCTCCTGATTTCACCCACACCCAGTGAAATATTGCTCTGCCTGGAAACGAGGAACTTCTGTTTTCCCTGAAACTTCTTTCACTGAATTCAGACAGTTCGTTGAATTACTGAAGATCCTCCACAGACGGAGGAATGTTTGGAGCTGTGTATGCTCGTTTTACACTGTGTAGTCTAATGCATCAGCTCCTCCCTCAGCCCCCTTTTTTGACACTGACCACGATAAACAGAACCACCAGCCTCTCCTCACCTTGGACCTCCGTGAGCCAGTCTGGCTGGTTGTAGTGTTCAGAGGCAATGGTAAGGGTGTTGAGAAACACAAGGAAGATCACCAACCAGTAGAAAACATTGGACTTGACAGCGGCGCGGCACTTTCTTCGGCAGAATCGATTCCATCGGCGCCAGTAGCGACTTGAAAAATTGGAAAAGGAAAAGTTCTTTTCAGATTGGGATCCTTAGGCTATTGCAAATCTCTCTCAAGAGAGACTCTAGCCTTGATTTATTGTTCAAGAATGGTAGAGAATAAGTTCACCATGAGAAATGTTCTCTCATTCTCATCCGAGTCGACAGTTGTGATCATCTTCCTTTAGCAATAGGAATAAAGTTAGTCCTAAACCAATTTGCAACATTTAAGGGTGAAGAATTCTCTACAAGCAATGTCTTAATCTGATTAAGACATCCATTGCAGCTACCCTGAGAGTTTTTTTAGCCCAGTTCCCACGAAAATAATTATTCTTCTTGTATTTAATTCTTGTGCCTGCAATGGGACCTTGCCCAGCCTGAGGACAGTCAATGAAAAGATAACCACTATATACCACAGACCTTTAGATTGAGTCCTTGGAGAGATAAGGTCAAATAAAATCCACGGAATATTTCCAACGTGCAGCAATGTTCAGGAGTAAGCCCAATAGGAGGGCTAATTCTGAACAGAAAAACAGAACTTAGGGGACCTCAGTATCTTCCCCTTCATGCCTGGAACTAAGGATACCATTTGCTAATCAGCAGACCTTTTAAAGTTTGCCTTCCATGAACACATCCCCTTGTGTCACTGATTTCTGAGAGTAATTACTAACGACAGAAGATATTTAAAGCTAATTACACACCTCCTACTCTTCAGAATTTAACTTGCATAGCAACCAGTTTCCAGGCAACACTTGCCACTGTATAATAAATCTAATAGTTTTATATAGATATTATATACATGTATGTGTGTGTGAGTGTGCACATACACAACGTTACAGGAAGAGAGAACTTTTCTTGGCTAGTCTGCTCTTATGTGTCATTTCCAGTGATAAACTATGGCCATGCTTGAGGTCAGGGTTCAGCATCTATATGAACAAAAGCCAGGCAATACGAACTTTGCACATTGGCTAAGATTGTTGCATCAATATTTTCACAGGTAATCAAAGCCAGGCTGGTTTAGCTATGCAGTTTATAAAGGCCCTCAGCCTAGCTAGCAGAAACATTTAGTAAGGGTTGTGTGTTTTGCAGTGGCTTTGGGACAGGAAATGATCTTCACCACTTCCAAAGTGCCCACAACACTTAGACGTTCATGTTGTCATTAAATCATGAGCAAGCCCAAACACTTTTGTGTGCACACACATGACTATGTAACGATTCAAGTGGGTTTTTGTGTTTATAGCTACACACAAATAAATCCACGGATTGTAGGAATATGATCAAGTATGCAAGTCTTTACACAGGGGTACATATAGGCAGTACATATGCATATGTGCATTCCTGAATTTACTTTCATTATTTAGGTAAACTGAAGGACAGAGTTGTTGTTTCAGTTATTCTGAAAATTAATTTAGTTTTTTGTAAAACTGACTTTTAATTCAGAGTTATGGAGGCAACTGGGCTCCAATTGATGAGGTCGAAATAGACTGGGACCTCAACAGGTCCCATGAGGTCAGTCAGCCTTTCCAATGGAAACCCACAGCTGACCTCCTGGGGACTGCTTCACATTTTCAGAAGCTTTAAGTCCACACAAAACCAAATACCACTAGAAAATCTCCACATGTCCCATGCTGAAAGGGAGCATTTCACAATTAAGATGCAAACCTCATCATGTGAAAGATTTACAATCCAGTGAAACAGAGTAGTGCAACAAAGTGTAGGAAAGAGAACCTTCAGCTGACAGGGTTGGTGTTGATGGATGAAGAATAATTATGTGGTTGAACTTTTTTTCTTCTGCTTTTATATTTTATGGCTCGAGATACGTAGGTAACAATCAGACAGGTACTTCTGAGTGAAATACTGTCAGTAGTTCCTGAGACTTATTTCAGTATGAAACTAAGAAACAGGATCTTGATTTTTGGTAGATGACTGACCAAAACCTGGCAAGTTTGGCCATTTCTCCTAGAATCACCACTGTGTCCCACAGACACAGGAGTAAACCACTTCACAAGACAAGGAACAAAAAAAACAGTGGAAAGGAGGAAAAAGTTTACTTACCTAAACTTTGATTTTGATATCCGATGCCTGAAAAATAAGAATTGTCATTAAAGTCTCTGAAGCTGTCCCACACCTCCCAGGCTTCAATGAAAATAGCAATAGAAAGAAACAAAGTTAAGCTCAAATAATTTTTTAATAGATGCTGTTTTCCTCTTGAATCCCCTCTAGGTCAATGTAGGCACAGGGAATGACAAGAAATCCCTGATATACAAATCCTGCATTTCTGGTGGGAATCATGAAGCAGGAGTCATGCCATGATGGGATTCTACCACCTACAGACATCAGTGAACTAGCCTTTTTTGGGGGGTAAAAGGCTGGCCTAATGCTAGGGGCACTCTACATCTGCTACCATTTTTTTTTCCCCCAATTATGACTCTTTTTCTTTTAGTCACTAGGGTTTTTTTTTTCCCCTCATATTAAAATATGTATGACTTTATACAGACAGACTTGTTGCTTTCACACATCACCTGTCACTTCAGAATATATAAGCACATTATGAAACCATGCTTTCTTTTTTTTCCCAGCAATTGAAGGAAAAAAAAAGTGCACGGTGGATATTTTTAAACTTAGACACTAACACTTATTTGCCTCTGTTGTCTACATAAATTGTTTGAATTCAAAAAGGCCTGAATAATAACAGATTCTATTGCTATCAATTAAATTTTTGGAATTAAGCGTTCCTTAAAACCTGTCCATGTTCCCACTATATACGTGTTTAAATATCTAATGCTATTCTTTTGGATTTATTAATCTAAATAATCTCAGCAGCCTTTTATGAGAAGTCACAGGCAAGGCTAGAGAGAGAGACCCCAATTCTCTAACCTCTACCTTGCTCTGCTTGACATGTGTCCTCTAAGGCCTTTCAACTCCTTGGCTGTCTTTTGTGCATACATAACGGTGCTCAGAGAGAAATAAAGGCATGTGGATGCAATGACATGAGTCAGAGGTGATTTAGGAAGCTGCAAAATCCACTACCAATAAGAGGAGAAATGAGAATCTGGGGAGTGACTATGAACAAGATATTTCTATGGGGTGGAAGCATTTCTTTAAGGTTCCCTCTACGATGGGAAAGTGATTCATTGTTGACAACAGCCAGCAAAGGTCTTACTGTACTGGCTTAAAAACGGATTCACTGTTAGGAGACACGGGACACAGTAATTCTCCAAACATCTAACACTACTTTCTGTAGCAGTCTTAAAAACGGTCACGTCCCCGTTGGAGGACATCAGTCACTGACAAGTAATCAGTGATGGGTCCTTTTCCTTATGTGGAAGAGATCGCAGTGATAGGAACATTTCACCAGCAGATGGTCCAAGCCAAAAAAAAAAAAAAAGAGCCTTTGCACTGAATACATCACTCCTGCTGTGTCACAGGCAGCTTGTCTAGGCCACATACTAGGCAGCAGTGTGGCTACAGACACAGGCAAGAGCCCTTTTGGTAAAGCAGAAACACCGCACTGGCTGAACAGAATGCTAAATTGTGCTGCGGAGACAAGCCAGCTTTAACGAGGATGACGAGCGAAGCACCTACGAAGCACATCCTTAATATTAATGGTATTGCAACTTCTCACCGAGAATTCTTCCTTGATAAGCACTAGCTACAAACAGTAATGGATCTACAGGCGAGAGGAAAGAAGGCTCAGAGCAAGACAGGGGAAAGGAAAAGGAGAAAAAAATCACAACGAAGGAAAAAGTTGGGCACTAAAAAGGATGGTGAAGAATTTCATAGGAAAAGGGTGGGAGTGGGTGGAGAAGAAAGCAAGAGAGATGTCATGGGGAACCTGCCCGGTGGAAGGTGAAGGACAGGGAGTGTGAAGCCCCTGGTGACCTCTCTGGCTAATGGCTTCCCAGTAAGGGAGCTGTGTGGCATTTAAGGAATCTTTTATTTATTCAAGCAAAAGAGATGTGGCAGGTGTAGTACTCATCATGCATGTGATAATTATATCTTTGGAGCATTATGAGCAGCAGCCAAGTGCATTCAGTGCTCCCACAGGTTAGCTACAGCCTCCCCCCCCCCATTGCCTTACTGCTGTGGCAGAAGGCTTTATCACATGTGGGTGTGTTATATATATAGAACAGGACAAGGAAGGAGGAAGAGATTTATATTTGGAGACAGAATCCAAGAGTGAAATGGAATTTTGGAAACACAAACTGTACAATAACTGATTCTGAAAACATTATGCTCGCATCTGAAACACATTTTTCAAATGATCCTTACGATCAAGAAACTTTTGTCTTTCAGAAGCAGGGATAACTATGTCATATAAAAGAGCTTTTATAGTGTCACTAGAGGCTGTCAAATAGTCTGAATTTGGGGCCTGGCCACGGCCTCTTTGTGACACTCCAAACTGGCACTTGCCAGGGGTTCCAGATTCTCTGCTGAGTTTAAACATGGGTCTCTTGCATCCCTGGGAGCTTTATGTCATTGGAACGAAGAGAGCATCCCCATTTGTGTCCAGCTCTGGAATGTCTTGAGAAACTAGTGTTTAAAATCATGGTATAGCAGTCTACTTCCTATTGGAAACAGGGAACCTTTTCAGATCGGTACTGAGTGTTTTTATCATAGGAACCATGCAATTTAGATCATCTTTTAGAAAGACAAACACAAAAATCAGACCTCTACTGTTTGACTCACTAGCGTTTAAATTCTCTAAAACTCTTCTAACCTCATGTAGTTATGTACCACATACAGAGAAGACAGTGAATTTTATCAGCATAAACTCAGGATAATCAGCATAATTCAAATGCAGTGCGATATCCCACATTCTGAGAGATAAAGTCTTCATTTCTCTGTTCATGATGGACATTAGAGAAGCGAAACTCTGCACTTGTGAAGGGTGTGACACTCTCGTGTAAAGGGGATTGAGGACTTTGTGTAATTGTACACACATCAAACAATTCTGGAAAAACCTTGTAGGTCTACAAACATGACACAAGGCCATGTGACAGTTGGTTTTGGGTGTAGAGATTTCTGAACATGACCATGAAATTATCTGGTATGGTGGTCAACTACTTCTACACTATATGATCCCTGCTATAGGCAACTATCTTCACGAGGACTTGCAAAGCCCTTGGATACTAGTAAAAACTCCTAGAAAAACAGTAACACAGAAATTTACTTAATATGCCTCTAGGTTACACACAACTTCAGGGAACACCCAAAGAGCTGCCCTGTGCATACCTTAGACATTTTAGAACTGTAAGAGCACGGTCCTAGAGTGATACTGATTCTGTTAAGGTGCAATACGGTGCATTCATGCAATTACTGGTCAAGCATCACAACATAGTCTCTCTATTCCAACTGCTGACATTTCATTGCTTCTAGTCAGGAGGCTGGCACCCCTGAAGAAAAAATGCCCACCCTAGGGTGCTTTTTCCACATATTACGGGACAGAGGCATACACTGACATGACATTTTCAGGAATGTGTGCTGCATACCTGGTAATCTTTCAGCCTAATAGCGTGTTAGGGCTAACTTCTACCCTCAGCTGTGCCTCTGGGATTCACACTGAAGCAATGAGCGTCCATCCTTCTGCCTGCTATCCTCTGCACAACACAATGCTGGGGAGTTTTACAGCGACAAGCAGTGGCCATTTCTTATTTCTGACCATTAACTAAAAGCTGCCAGCAAAACAGAACAGATGACTGGCCCTGGAGAAGTTGCGTTCTGTTGTGGACTGAGATCCTCCTCCTGAGGCAATCACTGAATTTCAGCACTCCACACAGCCATGCCTTCTCTTTTTTTTGACATTCTTGCAGAAGCACTGGAGAGCATGCTGACCTGACGGGAGCGGTGCTGGTTTTAAGAGAGAGGTGGTTGTTGGCCAGCAGCAGTAAGAATCTGCAGAACATCCTTAAGAAAACTGGATCTGTCTAGCTTAAAATTGAGCTGGTTTGCTATTCAACAGGCTTCCTCACAGGCTGGGAAAATAGGCCAGCACTTCAGCATTTAGTGAATAATCTTGCTCTCCCTGTGGCAAGGCCTGTCACAGAATCTGAAGTACGAAGATAATTCCTCCTCCACAAGGGCATGCTATTGTCCTTTAGACACATCTCTAGAGCTGACTGTGAATATCAAAACCACCTTGCTCATAATAAACCGGAGAGCAGTAGCTGAGGCTGACACGTAAGAGCCAACCCTCTGTGTTTTCCTGCTAAAGCCAGCAGCGGTTTCAGAGCTTCTGGCAGGCATTTCTTACCACTGCTCCTGATGCGACAGGGACTTTGGCCCTCACAGAAGGAGGCTATCTTCTCATTAGGTGAAAACCAACAGCAACTATCGTGAACCAGCAAGCAAGCCGACTCTTTCACCTTTACCAGTGACTCCTATGAGGAAGACCTGAATGGGAACTATTTTGCCAGCCAGAAAAGCACCAAGGGAAAATCACTGATGGTTCAGCTGCCAGGGAAAGCTTCCATTGTTCATAGTATTTTTCAGGACACACAGTTTTCAGCTGGAAAGCCAGTGTAGGTTGTTCATTTTGGTTTTATCCTGGTTTATTGTTCTAACCCTCTTTGATGGAAAAGCAATTGAACTGTCCCCCAAATGTGTGGAAATCCCGGCCAAGGTGAAAATGCCAAGTGGCTTATTGTTTCAATGAAAGCAGATAATTTTAAGCTTTCTTTCCCTTTGAGCTCAAGTGCTTCACTTTTCTATTGAGGCTGTATGGAACATTAGTTTCCACAAAGGTCTTTTTTTTAGCTAATACATATGTATAAAAGCAAGCTCTATTGTGGCACTCCAGATCTGTATGGTTGTATTAGAAAATTAACATTCTGCTTGTATTGGAAGATTATATATGCGTACATCCCGCACAGAGCAGATTACCACTGATTATGAGCAATAGCCTGTCCTCAGGAATCTAAGACCTGCACAGCAGTAACCACAGAGGCTCAGGGAAATTTCTCACTATTGGGAAGTCCTGGGTATAAGGCTATCCTGTAAAGAGAAACTCATTGCTCCTACTTCTGGGTTTATCCCACTGACACCTGTTGCAGAGGAAACGTGTCTTTGTACCCACAGACAACAGGTTATTAAAGCTGTGACACACCAGAAGTAATGCTGGAGGGAGACTTTTTACAAGGGCACGTAAGGACAGAATAAGGGATCATAGAATGGTTTGGGTTAGAAGGGACCTTACAGACCATCTAGTTCCAACCCCCCTGCCATGGGCAGAGACAACTTAAGGGATAACTGGTTTAAATTGAAAGTGGGGAGATTTAGATTAGATATCAGGAAGAAGTTCTTCCCAGAGAGGGTGGTGAGGCACTGGCACAGGTTGCCCAGAGAAGCTGTGGCTGCCCCATCCCTGGAAGTGTCCAAGGCCAGGCTGGATGAGGCTTTGAGCAACCTGGT